ACCCCTGACCTCAAGCCCACTGACAGGTGACAGACCTCACAGTGGACGCAGCCCCAGGCTACCCCACCATCTCCTCTCTGACCCCATGAGAGGGCTTCAGCCCCCACCCCTACCTAGTACACCATCCACCATCCTCAGCTGGAGGTCACTCAGCCTTAGGGGACTCAAGGGCCTAGGGGAGAACAGGCTCTTCCTTAAGGACACGTGGTGGTGGGAACAAGTGAGTCATGGAAGTTTCTGGAACAGCTCCTGGTGTAGGGGTGCATGAAAAGGGACTTCCCGGACGGGCCCTGTAAGGCCTGTCTCCTGGCTCCCCTCCCCACTGGCCCTGGTCCAGACGTGTGTAAATAGGTGTTCTGTGGGACGTGGCTGGAAGTCAGACGATGTGCCCGTTTCTGGGTGGAGTTTTCAGCAGCCATTAGCCCTCTGAGAGGGGGATGGGGCATCGTGGGTGTGAGGGTGACCAGCTTACTGGTCTGAGGCAGAGGGCTGGGCTCTGGCCCTACTCCTGACTCGGGCCTTGGGGTCAGTTCATGTGCTCCGGTCAAAGCCAGGGCCCAGAGGGGCTGCTGCCTGAGGGGTCCTCTGTGGCATGTGGCCAGCTGGCAGTCCTGGTGCTCACTCCCCTGGCAAAGAGGGTGCACTCCTGATTCTGTGGGTGGGAGCCCCTCCCACCCGTGGGTCCTGCCAGCCCCTTGCCTCTGGCCACCCCCAGCCAGGGGAGGAGGAAACAGTGTCCTGGCTGGCCTCCCCTCACGCCTTGGGTCTGCCCCAAAGGGCATCCATTCGCACAGGATCCAGGCCACACACCTGGCACAGAGGTGTGAGCATGAGCGGCTGGAGGCAGCCCTGCACAGGAAGCAGGTGGCAGAGTGGGTTTGGAGGTGACCCTGTGTCCTCTGACCTGGCTCTTGCTGCAGGGGCGCCACCTGCCCCCAGTCTTCATGGTGGTTTCTCTGTGCTCCTGCACCTCTGACCTGCTCTCATAGGGGCTCTAGCCAGGACCCACAGATCACAGGGGGCCTCCCTCTCCTTCCCCAGGTCACCTGGGTGGCTGACCTCAAAAATCCATGTCATGGGCTTTGTCTGAGCTGGGTGGCAGCCAAGGGCTCTGGGCCTCTGGCCTCAGCTCACTCTTCCTGCCTGGATCCTGGAGCTGGGACCCAACTGGAGTGGAGTGTCCCTGGGCCCTAGCACCTGCAAGGGATCGGAGTGGTGTTGACTCCTGAGGTGTGGGTGGCTGGGTGGAAAGAGAACGTTCCCTTTAAAGGAAGAGCAAGGCAGCCCCCGGACCTTCACGGAGAGAGGAATGCGGAGGGTGCAGGGAGTGTCCAGGTGGAGAGCTGCCCAAGCTGGTATCCGCACCATGACCTCAGGGTATAGGCGGAGGAAAGCAGGGACGATGGGCCTCCCACCACAGTCGAATGCTCTGGGCAAAGAAAGTGGGGCTGTGCACCCACCAAGGGTTTCTGAGGCCAGGCAGGCCAGGCCTAAGCATCTCCTGGAGCCTGCGTCCACATGGCCCTCTGGACCCCCTGTGGTGGGCAACACGGCTGTCCTCCGTCCAGACCCCTCCTCTGTATGACACCCAGGTCCGGATGCATCTAAGGTGAGTGGCTGTCGCCGCCCTACATGCAGGGTTGACCCCCTCCCCTCAGGGCAGAAGGCACAGGGAGACATCAGCCTCACATGGTACCTCAGTGCGGGCTACACAGAAAGTTCCTCCATTCTATCACCAAGCACACCAACCTCTGCAGGGGTGTCAGGGGGCTCAGGCCACCCAAGGGCGCCCTCCTGTCCCCTCCTCTCCCTATCCTCCCCCCCTCCAGACTTGGAGGGTCAGAGGAGGGGCATTGACAGCCAACAAGACCTCTCAGTTTGGGGTGGGAGGGGAGGTCGTGGTATTCAGAGGGTCCAAGGTGGGCTCTTGATGGGGATAGAATGGGAAGGGGATGGCATGGCTCCTGGTCCTCCATTCCCTGCCTCCTCCAGCCTCCACTCTGTGGGGTGTGAGTGAGGAGGGGGGCTCAGGTGAAGGACCCAGCTTGCTGGTACTTCAGAGTCGGTGAGCCAGGCCTCCTGGGTGCACAGTCTCCCTCGGTAGGCAGCAGGAGATGGACTGGCCAGGAGAGGTGTGTGTTCTCATTGGTACAAATCAGGCTGCACATGGCTGCTTCCCAGCCCTGGTCTCCATGGGGCACCCTTTGCTCAGGACAGAGGAGGGCCAAGTCCCTGCCACCCACCCCTGGCACCCAGCTCCCCTCCCTGCCTGCCAGGTTTGAAGTCTGTTCCTCTCCTGGAGCCCTAGCCCCTACTGCACCAAGCAGCTGCTGGTTGGGTCCCCATCACCCTTCACTGGCTCCCCTTCCCCCACTGACCCTGTGGTCAGTCCTGGGTCCTCACCCACCTGACAGCTGACCCCCAAATCCTCCGCCTCGGCGTCCTTAGCTGCTGCCTCCTCCTCTCCAGCCTCCAAGCCTCCGACAGCTGAGGCTGAGCCCCTAACCCCATCTCTCCCCTGCTGGCTGCTCCCAAGGGTCCTCCTGGGGGCCCTTGGCTTTGGACACCAGGTGCGAGGCAGCGGCCTCCACCAAGGCCTCGCCCTTGACCCGCTATGCAGCTGCGGTCTCTCTCCACAGGCTCCACGCCCTGGGCCCAGCCCATCACCAACTGTGCCAACACCCCAGGACCTGCACTACCTGAGGGCTGGTGGTTCTGGGGTTCCCCTGTTCCCTCGGGATGGGGCCCTGGGGCGCTTCTCACAGGTGTTCACACAGCTGCCCTTTCTCTGGGGTTCCCTCACCAAGTGTCCTGAGAATTTGACCTTGTGACGTGTGGTCACTGTCTACACCAAGGTGTTGGGTTAGGGTTGGGGTTACAAAAACACAACAAATTTGGAGGAAAGTACACAATTGTAACAACATCAACAAAGTCTGAGGCCCCAGCAGGTGGAGATGGGGCCTCGGCGTTTGGGTCCCAGATGTCCCCACCTGTGGCACTTGTGCCCCCCCCCCCCCGCCCCCCGGAATTCTTTTCCAGCTGTAAACGGGTGAACAGTTGGCTGCCCTGGGTCTGTCTGGCTGTTAGAATGATTGTCCTTTTCCCCAGCCCAGTGCCCTGAGTGAGCCCCAACGAATCAGAGGAATGGCATTTCGAAGCATAACCACGGCAGTTTCCCCTGGCTCATTTCCCCACTGGGGCTCCCCGACGAGCTAGGCCAGGGGTGGGCAAACTCTTTGACTCGAGGGCCACAATGGGTTCTTAAACTGGACCGGAGGGCCGGAACAAACGCATGGATGGAGTGTTTGTGTGAACTAATATAAATTCAAAGTAAACATCATTACATAAAAGGGTACGGTCTTTTTTTTTTTTTTTAGTTTTATTCATTTCAAACGGGCCGGATGTGGCCCGCGGGCCGTAGTTTGCCCACAGCTGAGCTAGGCTGATGCCTGCATCAGGCCCAGGGAGGGCTGGCCCTGAGAAAGCCATGAAACCCTGTGCCCTGCACCCTGGGACTTCTGCCTCGGGGAGGAGACAGAGGTGGGCACCATGGCGGGGACTGGAGGAGGGGAGCACCACCCACAGACTGCCCTGGGCCTGGCCCCCTCCCGCCCATCAGTGAGTACTTCCCTGTCTCTCACCTGTCCCAGCAGCTTCTTAGGACTTGGCGCTCCCCTGAGAGGCGCCCTGTAGCATTGCTGACCCTGGCTTCACGGCTTTCCCTGGGACCTCGGGCTTGGCCGTGTGGCTTCGCTGGCCTGTGAGATGTGAGGACTGTGGTGCTGCCGGTAATGAGATGGCGCACGTGGCCTCCCCACTATCCTCAATGTAAAGAGCGTGTCCTGGTGTCTGCTCCAGCCCAGGGCAAAGCCCGCCCGAAACAGAACCTCCGGAGACCGTGAGCTTGAGGAGCCACACCTGCTGCTGGGCCTCCGAGGTTCTGGGTGGTTTGTCACGAAGCATGAGTGTGGGGCTCACTGACTAATACACCAGTACCCTCACCTGCTGGTCAAGTGGAATCTCCTTTGGTTTGTGCTGCGTGGATTCCTGGCCGGGCAGGTGCTGTCCACGCACTGCCTGTCTTTCCTTGGTGGAAAATGATTTTTCTCCTTTCAACTCCCACCCCATTTCAGAAGTGAGGCCCGGGTGCTTGGCTCCAGCTCCTCTCTGAGGATGCTTCTCATCCTCTTCCCCTCGAGGGCTGTCCTGGGGTGCAGACCCCCTGCCCTCCGACCCACGGCCCCGGAGCTCTGTGTGTGTGTGGATGCCAGGGTGGAGAAGGAGGCCCCACCGTGGTGGCCTGTCCCCGCAGGTGTGTGGTGCCCCCCCCCTTCCCCCAGAGCCTGGCCTCCTCCACATGGCTGTCTGTCCTGTCCAAGCCCCTCAGTGGGCCATGGGGCTTTTTAAAGATTTTTTTTTATGGACTTTGCATGTGGTCAAGGGCTGCAAACATTTCCCCAGTCTGTTGTCTGTTGTTTGTTTTTGAATGAGATTCATTTATTTTCTGAAGAAAGAAATGAGCTTTTATGCAGTAAAATCTACTAGTATTTTTGTTGAGTTCCTATGATGGTATCCTCATTGAAAAGTATTTTTTCAGCCCTAACCGGTTTGACTCAGCGTCGGCCTGTGGACTGAAGGGTCCCAGGTTTGATTCTGGTCAAGGGCATGTACCTTGGTTGCGGGCACATCCCCAATAAGGGGTGTGCAGCAGGCAACTGGTTGATGTTTCTTTCTCATCGATGTTTCTCTCTCATCAATGTTTCTAACTATCCCTCTCCCTTCCTCTCTGTAAAAAATCAATAAAAGAGGTATGTAAATAAACTATTTGCAGCCCTTGATTGCATGGAACTACTCACTTTAGATTTAACTGGAGGAGAAGCTGAGGAAGAAACCAGCTCACACCTGTGCCCAGGGAAGGGCTGGTTCTTCCTTTGGCCCAGTATTAATCCCTCCCATTGGGGTGGGGGGGAGGGTGTGGCCTCACACCTGAGCTGGCAAGTGAGCTTCTCTGGGAATCAAATTCATACTCTGCAAGGGGCCACATGCAGCCTGTGGCTGGGGCAGGAGCCGGCAGGGAGCCTGAACCCACCTGCCCTGCTGTGCCAGCTCCTAGGACCCGCCAGCATGCTGCTGTCCCGGCTGGGCCGCATGCAGAGGTAAGGCGGGGGTTTGGGGACTGGGTCCTCCAGGGGAGATAGTGCCCTTCTTTCATCCTCATGTTCTGAGAACCTGGCGGAAAGGAGTCATTCTGTGTTGGTTTTAAAAAGGAAGTCACGGGGTTGGGGGCTCTAACACTCCCTTGAATTCACCCCCAGGCTTGGGCCTCTGGGGAACAAGAGCCCAGGGCTGAGGAGAAAATGAGGATTTGAGGTTTGGGCTGAAGGCCTCGGTGGGGGATTGCTACGGCCCTGGGACCTCCTGGCCCCAGTCTAGGTGTCACCTTCCTGTGGCTGGGCCCCTGAATTTGTAGTGACCTTTCATCCTCCTTCATGGCATTGGCAGTTACCTGCATTTGCATTTTAGGACACTTGCTGGAGGCCTGAATGCGTGAGAGGGAGTCCCTGCCAGCTCTAGGTGACACGAGGCTGCTCCCCTTTTTAAGCTGAGGAGGTAGAGTCTCCCCCACACACAGGTTGGAGGGAGACGGGCCTGGCCTGCAGATGCTTTGCATTTTACTTCTCTGCCTCATCCCACAGGCTTTTCGGGATTCCAGCACCTCTGATGCCCTCCTCTCCACCTGTGCCCAACCCTCCCTATAGGCCCTGGGGACTAGCAGAGACCGGGGAAGTCCCAGTGTCTCTCTTCCTGTGGGCCTTGTCACCACTCTGTGAGGAGGAGGCATGAAGGCTGGGGGCAGGGTCACTCTAGCTGGGGCCAAGCTGGGTTTCTCGGGCTGCCCAGCATCCTGTGCACACGCAGGTGAGGCAGCCTGGGGAGCCCCAGGGCATGGGCTGTCTGGTGGCTCTGAGTGTCCCAGGCTCATGGGTTCAGTCAAAGCACTTGGAGAAAGGGGCTGCAGCCACAGAGCCCCTGTCCCCACGACCCTGGCATGGGCCACCCAGAGCCTGTTTATTTCCCTTTAATGGTGCGAACGTTTGTAGGCTTCTCTCGCTTGGCCCAGCACGCTTGTTTGTTATGGGTCAGAGAGAGGACAACCGTGGGCAGGGCAGCCAAGTGGGGCGACCCCATGGCCCTGGGCAGTCCGTGGAGCTGTGAGCAGAGCTGACTTTCTGGCCAGATGGGCTGTGGCATCTCAGTGAGTCCCCTTGCCTGTGATGGACTTAGGCACAAACCCTCCTCAGTGACTTCAAGGTTTTGGGTGACCCTGATTTGGGGGGCATCTCCCAGGCTCTTATGGCTGCTGGGGACCTCAGCCCAAGACTGTGGCCTCGTTGGCTGTATGGCAGTTGTTGAATGGCTTTGGGATATTTGCCTGGGCCTCTAAAGACATGCATTTCTGTTTGTTTGGGACTCAGTTCTGTGGGAACAAAGAACCCTAAGAGTGCTGAGCCCTGAGGAGCTGTGCTTGCGGGGGCTGTGTGGCCTATGGGGGCTCCATGCATTTTAGGGTGCTTGCTGGGGGCCTGAGTTCCTGAGAGCAACTCCCTGCAGCTCTTGGTGACACGTGGCTGCTCCCCTTTATAAGCAGAGGAGGTAGAGTCTCGGGCACTGAGGTTGGGAGGGAGGCCAGCTGTAGGGGGGCTTCCAACCAACCCTGACAGGACCCCACTTGCCGATTAGGCAGCAGAGGGCATGTACCTTGGTTGCGGGCACATCCCCAATAAGGGGTGTGCAGCAGGCAACTGGTTGATGTTTCTTTCTCATCGATGTTTCTCTCTCATCAATGTTTCTAACTATCCCTCTCCCTTCCTCTCTGTAAAAAATCAATAAAATATTATTTTAAAAAAAGAAAAGTGTTTTTTTCAGCCCAAGATGTAAGAAATAGTAAATTTCCTCCTGGCGTAAAGCACACTTTTCAGAAGAAAAGGAGAGGGAGGAAAGCTTCTGAACTTGGTCTCATATTTTCCTTTTCCTCCTCAAAGATGTTGACTGTCTTTGCTTCACACTCAAGTATTTGCACCTCCTGAGTTCTGGGGTGGGCAGGGAGAGCAGGTGTGGACAGCGGCGGGG